ATTTCTAATCTGTTCCGCTCACTTGTAGATATGCCAAGCGGTTTAGCGCTTATGGATTTCGGTTTCTGTTTTCCTTGTGAAAGAGCCCTCACGAGTCTAAGAAGGGTTTTTTGTTTTGATATAAATGTTCATATTATATAAGATTCGATTACCCATTCCCCTGAAGTATGTTAATCTTTTAGTTACTGATATTTTGCAAAAATTCTCGTTTCATTATACGAAGTTAAGAGCCAATCATTTCGAAAGGCTAGAAATCAAAATAAATGCAACTAAAAATAAGAAAAATATCTGTAATAAAAAGATTAACAAAAAAAGAAATTCCTAATACCTGTCTTGACATATCGAAACTAGAACGGACCATGCTGTCAATCTCGCCGCTTTGTTTCCACAATGATGTCCTTTTTTTGTACCCATTTATTCGTTCCGATGATGGCAAAGCATCAGGTTTGAGATTACCTGTAAATAAGAATTGCGACTTCATTTAAGATGTCATAATGAGTCTGCTAATAACTCAAATTCTTTTAATGAAAAATTCTCCTCCACATTTCACAACAATTCTTACAGAAATATTTGAGAACACTCGTCTCACGTCAAAACTTCACACCCAGCTCTTTACGAAGACGAGGCTGATCGATAACCACAATAAAACAACGAATACAAATACCATTTTCAGTGATTAAAGCATCTGTCGAACGGATCGAAACAACTCCTGCTTCCATGTTTTTATGAGTTCCAGCATTATTCATCATTTCAATTTCATTCATCTAAATAAAGGAAAGATGAAATGTGGTCTAAAGAACGAAAACAATTATCAATTAATTTCATAAAATCTTTTCAAAGATATACAGGTGAACGTGATCCACATCTCATTCATACAAAATCTAATATATTTGAGGAACAAATAAAGTTATGAAAAGACCTTCTTTGACTCAAGAGTGATTTTGATAAATTTATCACAGAAGAAAAAGATGTATATGCCAAATATACAAAACATCATAACCATGATAAAATCGTAATTTTCGCCATCAACGACTCCTAAGCCCTGGAACAAGAATAAGAGATATTTGAAAGAGAACTGTAATATTAAAAAAAAAACAAAACTACTCTAATTTGCTGCAAAAATAAAATCACTAGATCGCATACATACGCGTCTCATAACATCAGAAATCATATAGCTGTATTTTCAATAAAATTTTGGTAAGATATTGGTCTGTAAGAAAACAGATCTCATTTATAACTTCTGTAAAAAACTGAATTTATAAACGGACTATGAAACTTCAGTGCTTTGTACCTTTTATCAAATGAAAGATTTTTATTTGCAAAAATCAGCTCTTAAGTAATACTGTATTTGTGTAAAGTCATATCTAGAGTTAAATTCGATGGTAAAAAGCTGTGTCTACTATATTCAACCAGAAAACTGATAGCAGTGTGATAATCAAACCCTAAAGAAATGTAAAATTATATATACGATCTTCGCCGTGGATTTTACATTCAAATGTTCTTCACTTTCTGTAAATGCAAATTCAGACGGTCTTTTATTTTAACTTAGCAACTGCATATAATGAAAATAGCACGTTATCGCCAGTTTGTTCGGCACCAAATTATAAGTGTAATTTATGAGCCCATTAATCATATGCATATTTGCTGTAAAAACCTAAGCTACATTCGTTTTACTTCATTAAGGATTATTCAAAATACAAAGTTTCAATATAATGTAACATAGAAAAAATCTGTAATTCTTCCTAAAACCGAAAACGCGATTGCTACTTGCTTTATTTACTGATATTTTAGTCTAACAAAGATTTTTTATTATAGTTTATTTGAATGTTTAAGACTGTATTTATATCTTGGACTTGGATTAATTTCCTCAACTTCGAGCTTGAATCTAAGTCTTGCAAACAACATTTAAAGTTTTCCTATTTTCACGACTGCATGTACTGCGGGTCATATCTAGCAACACATTTTTGCTTGTTTGCAAAACTAAAAAGTTTATTGGAATGAAGTTAACTGCTATATCTGAACTGTGTCATTTATGATATTACAAATCTAACAAGAGACCGAACAGCTGCTTGACAAGCCACATTTCATTTATTTGGAACATACATTTTTCTCAGATTCATGTCTTACATAGCTTTATACATTAATAATAAACTGAGAAGCAATAGAGGCATATGGTTCTCCAGTGCATTTTAGAATTTTAATACTTTTTGCATGAAATGAATTTATGACTGCTTCATATCCTTATGTCCACCACTTCCGCTTAGATCAAGTCATTGTCACGAAAATTATTTAAAAACTTCATCACTGTTTCCAAATACTTTTTTGCTTGAATGATAACACAAATATTGCTATTCAACATTGCGGAAATCAAAACTGCGATGAGGAAAGTTTCACCTGAGGTAGCAAATGCAAAGTAGATGAAGTTATAAGTGAACCAACTCCGACAGCTACAAGAACCGTGATAAAGTGGTTGTATGTTCGTTTGCTAAGTTTCTTGACGAACAGAATTCCAACAGCAGCACATAAGCTAATTACTGTAACGCAAGTCAGACCAACGGTCCATACTAAAAAGGAAAATTTCACTGGTCTTCATTCATTTTCGACGGGTCTGCAGCTGATTAATGCTTATAACACATGCAACTGTCATAATTATGCTTCCAACACTGAGAATGAAATTTGAACTACCACAAGACTATTTGCCTTGAAGATAACTTACTAATAAAATTAGAGGGACGGATATGATGCGGCCGATTCGGCACAACTACTGCCGATTTAATTGTTTTCATTTCGTGCAGAATTCGCTAATACCTTCAGAAGTGAAATTAGTTTGGAGAGCACTTGTGCTAGGTGGCCATTCGAACTCTTCCATAACCACCTTACTTGCACTGTACGAATTTTGCCAATTCCTTTTGCCTGCTATAAAATCCTAACAACTTCATTATAACATATTCATACTAGAAAGGTTTCCGGAAGCTAAATAACAAATATGATTTTCAGTATTTTGCCATCTTACATACTTCAGAATTCGGGGAATATAACCAACGCATGTAAGCTAATCAAAACTACACTCAACATCCTGCAAAACATGCGAAGCAAACTATCCGGATATGTCACAATTTCTTTTTCAGAATGAGAGCTAAAATGTTCAGTGAAAAACATAGCCTGTACAAAGTCTTCCATCATAACAACCTGTTAACACAATTTCATTCGATAATTACCAGTAACAATTGTAAAACGGTAATTCGGTTTGAAATGTAAGAAAAATCCCTTTTATTATAATGAATCGTGATTGAAGCACGATGATAAAACTTCATCTCAATGTCAGCAATGTATAACATATATAAAATAACATCGATGAAAACTGCTTTTTTTAAACTAAGTGATGAAAAAACAAAACATTCGAGGAGCATTGTCAGAAAGTAAAGAAAGCAGTCCTTCACTAGTTTCTTGCTCCACAATTTTAAAGATTGGATTGCAATCTGTGCCCGTATTTAACAAGAATAGGAAACAGCTTAAAGCATCACAAAAAGCCTGAACATCCCAAATCCGTCTCCTCCCATTTTGCTATTAAACTAATTCACTGATTCACTCACATACAAATTTGCAAAGTCGTCTGGTAAATCTTCAGCCACAAAATCCGATTCGGACGTCACATCGTAACAAGCGCATAAGTGTCTGGGAAGGCAAAGCACGCTAAAACATATTTCTGCCGGGTGTTTGGATCAGCGACAATGAATCATTTGACTATTGATATCAGGATGTCTATACATTCCACGAGATCCTGCAACCATCGGAGATAAACCGACCTTCCGGGTTGAAGGGCTGGCTATACAACGATACAGTATAGCACGTGGTATGACATAAGTATCACAATGTCGGAGGTACCACCTTATACACTCCAGATATAACTTGTTTTCTTAATTAAAACAAGATTTTATTAAAATAAAAATATCATGAACCAGAATCTGTTGTTCAAAGTGAGAGAAATGAAAGAAAAGGGAAACGGTTAGGGTTTAATGCGTTTTAACAACACGTTGAGCAAAACAAGTCATTTCTCGCGTATGCAGCAAGGTGATGAATTATAAATTCTAAAAAAAAGTCTGACGAGAATGAATGAAGCATCTTACAGGAATGCACACAAATAATGCTGTCTGACAGGCTATGACGTCACCCTCACCATGAAAAGCATTGAATAGCTTCAACCGAAGTGCAGACGCACGCATTACGAAAATTCAAAAAAAGCAATGCATTACACAAAATGTGTGCAGAGGTGTAGATGGGAAAGATCGATGCAATATCAATTTCGCTTGGTAACCGTCATCCATGGCCCTGAACAGCTGTTTTTTCCTTCTCTTACTTAGCTTGCTTCTAAGCAAAAATCACACCAGAGGGAGACATAAGACATAGTATATTAGAATAGAAATAGGTCCAATCAAGTTGTTCGACTTACTGAAGTTCTGAAACTATTCCCATCAATACCACCATCACCATCACATCATCATCATCACCTCACCAACATCTCCCTCCTTTGCCCTAAAAAGCCACACGTAAGCCTTCCAAAATCACCATTCACTTGTCCCTGTGCAACTATGACGAGAACTTTCGTTACCTTTCAGTCGGGACGTAATGAAACTGACGTTATGAGAACTGAGTTGTAGCTTGCTGAGTCTTCTCGAATAGTTTGCTTTTTCGGGGTGGTAATAACGTAGAATGACCACTAACGATAACCAGCGAGCTAGCTTCAGTTCCGTTTTTATCTTTTTTTCGATTCAAGCAGAATGGATCGAAAATAAACATCTAATCTCCTTCTCCTGATAGCAGTTAATTTTACAAAATTATATAAAACGAAGCTAAAAATAAATTAAAATGACAACTAATAATGGCAAAAATGCCCCATTTATGATTTTTCAATAAATGTAAAGAATGTGATGGTCATGTAACATATAGCAAATGAAAGTGTGGTAAGTGTTGCAAGTATCAGCCTGAATCCTCAGTTATAGTGATTTGTAGCACAACTTAAGTAAATATAAACGTGTTATTCATTAAGAATACGGTCGTTCAACCATTCATTTTAACCAAACCGAATGGAAGAAATGGAGGGGGATTGGTTGTTCATAAATGTCAGCCGAGAAACGATGTTGTTGATGAGTTTCAATTTCAGTTTCAACGGCTTAATTACCATCCAATAGTCAAGGAATTAGACATTTTATATCTAAAAATAAATTTTTGAGGTTGAAACAATGATATTGGAGCATTATTATTTAGGGCTGCTTATTCATTTCGAAATGTAAGACGTTCCACGGTGATAAGCGGTATCATCGGAGAGCATATATTAACGGACGAAAGATTCAGATAAGTTGGGTTAATTAAGTCGAAAATTAAAGACAAAAAATAAAAAATGAAACAAATATTAGAGGCGAATATTCTGTGTTTTCTGTGAAGTCTCATTCCAGCATTACAAACTAAATCATGTGGTAACAACAATAGTAAAAATACGAGATCTGCAAAGCTCATGGATGCCCGCTTAAACAGACTTCATTAAATATGGGTTAAATAATTGATTATTCAACTAGCTATGCAATAAAATTGAATGTAAAGAGATTCTATTTTTGATCCGACTTAGGGCTGTAGTTCAGTTCCAATTTCCATCTTAAGTTTATAATTCTTCCATTTAGATTAAATTAGCCTCTACTTATTATCAAAAACTAAATTTTCAATATACTGAACATATTCAAGTCTAACCCATTGTTTTTGGGTTAAACTTTTCCTTAATTTAGTAGTATTGCACCGAAATTAGATAATATGTCTGCTCATACTGTTGAAAAATGTGAACAGAATTTCATTGAAATTACTCATTAGATTACTGGCGTTGTCTTTCATATTATTGCCGTTCACCGACAGATTCCCATATTTCTAAAAAAATACTGAGTAGAAATTTCAAAGAAAAACATAATATTGCAGGGGGCAGTTGGTCCGTTTAAATCAAAATTTCAGTGCGATAAAGAGTGCAAATTGCATAGTACATTGATCCTGCAATAACAAAGTTTTAAGCTAACTTTAGAACATAGTATTGAAATGTGTCCATTTAGATTGTATGCCATAAGAAATTTCGAAGTCCTGATATTTATCAACAAACTGATTTCAAGGAGTCAAATTTTGGAGCCTAGAAAGGGAAATTTTTAATTTCAAAGACGTCAGATATCAAGAAATTACAGGATGAACAACTTGAAAAGCAAGAATGTTGATACTTGAAGCAGTGTTACCCAATAAAAAAAAAAGCAGAGTGAAATTTGCAAGAAATTCAAAAGATAATGGTGTTCTCAGTTTGGTGGTAGTAAAGGAACAAAAATAAAAGATACTTGAAAAGATGAACGGAGTGTTTCTGCATTGTAGCGATAAACCAATTTTGTCAAATGCGAATTGTAACTTTATTTCCGAATTGCCAGATATGGAGGCTTATTTAAGCTCCAATGTTATTGACACTCGATGTTAGATATATCGTTTGCCATGCAATAATGAATTATATGCTGCGAAATAGTGACATCGAAAAGAAATGTTCTGAACACCTTACTTAATTAAAATCATTTAAATTTCACTTTTCTTCGTACAACATTAAAAATGTCGATTACGTTACAAGTTACCGAAAGGTTGATTGAGCATGAGAGTGCATATATGACTGACGTGCTGATCTTCGGCAATGTAATCTTAAACTGATTAGTATAATTATCAAAAAATGGAAATACAGTTAGTTCTGTAAAGCAAATCATTCAATCTTCGCAATAAAAAGTGATATGTAAGACCACATGACGAAATTCGATTATGAGCTTCATTATCTAATTTCGAATGTGAACGATTTTGGCAGCTGTGAAAATCTCAATTCAATTAGATGTGTGGTTTAACCTTTTTTGATTTGAATCATACAACGTTCATCAATCAGAGGCCGTGGTATGCTTGAATTAAGTCGTTCAGTATGCAAATAATATCACAGTATCAATATCTGTTAATGATCTATTTAATGAGTATTAGACTTCTTTAACTTGCTTGAAACTTCTGCAACGTATGCCTTTATCATTTTCAACGCAATTTCTTCAAGCTACGAATCTTACCAGTACATCCCATTTTGATATGAAAATTAAAATTTCTAGCGCAATTGCAAAAATGGTTGAGTAGGAGGTTTTAAAGCAAAGGAAAAAGATCGCAGAAGGTACACACAGCAAAGCAATCGAAATAACGAAGATGTCAAGAAGCATTGATGATAAAGATCAATAAAATGGGTGTTAGATGTTAATAACTTTGGTTCAAGACGATCACGAGGAAAAGCGAGCTAAGAGGAAAAATTAAGATTAGGGTTCGTCATTTTTCAGTGAGTGTAGAAACGATTACCATATATCGCGAGTAAAAATTTTAATGTTTCCTTTTATTCAAAAAGGAGTACTGCTGGTAAATCAGTGTGCAAGATCCAAGATTGACAAAACCAATGTGTCAGTGTCAGGTCAAGCATACCGACTGAATTGGGTAACGACGAATATAAATTCTTCACTGAGGAACTTGTTCAATGCTCAGAAAAAAACCGAAATTACAGAAATTGGACTTCGGATCCTCTAAAGTAGCAGGGAAGAAAGGCAAAGATTGAATATCTCAGAAGTTGTAGTTAGCGGTTTAGGGAAAACAGAGCTGTAAGAAACACTGGAGGAAACTGATGCAGGAAGACAGAGTTAATGTTACCGAGCGATCTCCTCGAAAGTTAAGATATTTTAATGGGGTCTTTGTTAACAAGAATTGATGTTCAGAGTTCTGATCTATTTCTGTACTGATTCTCGAAGTTTGCAAGAAAGAAAAGCGATTAATGATGGCAGCGTGAAAATGAAC